GACATTGAACGATTTGTGGATAAGAGGTTGGTGGATAAATATCTTTAATAATTGTTTTAGTATTTCATTTCAAAAATTTAGGCTTATGATTTGCAGCAAGTGCAATGAATATTCTCATGATGATAATGATGAATATTCTGATGAGAATATTACAACAGACAATAAAAGTGATGACCATGATGCGAGTAAATACGATGAAAATGATAGTAAAGGAAATTATTCATTAAGTAATTAAAGATGTAAAAAACAGCAAATTTTTTATTACAGACAATAGAACTACATGCGCTTAAAAGAAATGTACCTTATCAATCGTTCAACCAATAAAGGAGTTTTATATTCAAATGACAATTTGTTGAACAGATATATAATATTCAAAAATATTATGACATTTCAGAACAACAAAAGCATTTGTTTTTTCATTAAAAAGTGAAAATTTACACTAGTAAACGAAATGCTTGGTCAGTTAATTAAAAATTTTATTACCTGATGAGTTATACAATCTTATCTCTAATTGCTTCAGAGATTCAAGATTCCAAATGGGAAAAGTGTATTATTTTTAATATTTTACTGTATAAGTAGGTGAGAACGCAACTGTACAAGTTGTTGTATAAGTTAAAAGCTAAGGAAAGTTTTATGATTTTTTTTCCAGTTAGGATTGACAGTTATAAATAAAGAACCACGTTTTTATTGTGATATAAACATTTTTGTAGGTTAGGATACATATTTCAAGTATTGGACTAAATGTTTGTGTGCTCCCAGTTTCTCTCTTTCAATTTTTGACAAGTTCATAAGCCACTATCATAAATATTAGTTTCTTTAGAAAACTCACAGTTCTACTTGAAATAATTTTTTCCATATTCTTTTTACTTTTACAGGTTACGATAGGACTTGAAACATAAAGAAAAAAAAATTTCTGTTTTTTTCACCTGAAACTTGAATACTCAAAAGGGTTTCATGATCCTATATTTATTGGTTCATAAGATTTTTTATTGTAAATAGTGAAACACGTCTTTTTCCATGATTCAACTGTTTTTATAGGTTAGATACTACTTTATACCACAAGAAAAAAAANTTTCAGGGAATTTTGTTTTCTATTTTTATTTGGTCATGTGATCAACGATTTTCAAGAGAATAACGTGTCTTTTCCACAATTTAATTATTTTCTTAGGTTAGAAAAGGTTTTGACACAGTAAAAAAACTTACATGTATTTCTGGTGTTTTAACTATTTTGTTTAAAAATTATATTATTGTTTGTTTTCATTTTTACGATTCTTAACGATAAAACCTCTATTTTCAAGTAATTAACCGTTTTTGCAGGTTAAAGGATAACTACACTTTGCTTAACAAAATTTTTTTGTTATCCCCGTATCAACAGCTAAATGTTCCAAAAAGTTTCATGATTCTATCTATGTTCGTTTGAGAGATTTACGACTTCCAATGAAAAAATGGGTATTTTTTCCATCATTCCCCATTTTTTTCGAGGTAAGGAGACCATTTGGCGCGATTTATGATATTTTTCTGTATAGACAATTCAATAAGCTATAATTTTCGAAAAAAATTATGGCTCTATCTTTAACCGTTCTGGAGATTTACGATTTTGAAACAAAAAAATCTGTTTTGGCCCACTGTGCGACGTGGCATCAGTCAACTGAGTAATGTGGGCTGCATTCGGCATTACTAACAATGGATATAATATTATTAACAGTATTTAACATCTTCGTGAGAAAAGTAAAAGGGTATTTTCCTATTCTAATACACATAAAGCCTTTAAAAAGGTAAAAAATGGCTTTGTATCACCGAATTCCACCTTGATTCCGTCAAATTTTGTTAATGCTTATTCTTTACCAACTAACATAGTACATTTTTTTACAGGATATTATCGAAGGTGATTAAAATCGTAGTATTAAATATCCTTTAAAGCTAAAAAAATTGCTTAAATACAGAAAATGGCGTTTTTCAAATAAAAACGTCAAACGCAAGAACAGTCCTTAGTTTCGAAGTGGCATCAAGACTTGAATATTTACCAACGAAAATGTATGCTATGAGCGTTTAACGACCGCGTGTATAGATTTCTTAGGACCTTACTTATTTCATCATGAGTAGAAATATATCCTTAGCTTTAAACCACCTTGTCAAAAGTGGATATGAAAAAGTGGTTAAATTTTTAATTAAAGCTTTAGATTAATCCTCCACTCTGCAGGTTAGAAGTGGATCTCAGAACAAAATTATTTTAAAATCATACCAAAAAGCTTGGCTATAGTGTACTAAAAGTTTACTTAAATTAATAACTTATCTATCAAATGTTAGAAACTTTTGATTTTTTCTACTAGGACAGCTAATAAAAGATTGTTTAAAGAATAAATTTTTTATCATTAGATTAAGTAATGTGACACTTAAGGTAGCTTGGATGGTTGGTACAGTACCTAGGGTAGGGTACCATAAGGGCTCTTTAAAAATCAACGATTTTTGATGGTTAATTTTTCAACAAATAAAGTTATTTCGATAAAACCAAAGTATATGATCAAGAAATTGCCAGAACAGTACCGTAAAATTATAATTGTAATAATTGAGAGATGTCGCGAGGAAAGCCAGAGTATTATTTTATACCGTTCTTCTGATCTTCTTTTTAGTTAATTCGTTGACCCTATGTTTTCAAGAAGTTAATAGATTCTTTCTTAGAAAATACTCAAGAATTATTCTAAATTTTGAAAGTTAATCAAAGATTTCAGAAAATATAATCGATTATGTGACCACCGTCCATGAAAGTAGGTGTCAAATTGGTGAATTTTTAGTAACGATTTGCGAAAAAATAAAGTCATTGGCCCTAGTATTTTCTTATCGCAAATAAATTTGGCATACTTTATTTATATAATTTCAGAAATTTAGAGGTTTTGATCAAGCCGATAAAAATTGCCCAAGCCACTTCAATGCATAAGAAACAAAAAACAACTAAAAAATGATTACTGCAGCATAGTAAATAAAAAAAGTTACATATTTACACTATGGTGATGATGGATCATTCTTATCCTTTTTTGATGGTTTGTAAAATGTTTCGATTCCTGGTAATATTGATACTAATGTTATTTTTAACAAAAATAATTTTAGCAAGATGTATCATATTGCTGGCTTTGTAGTTAATAATATTTTAAAAAATCAGAGGGTTTGTAAAACATTTATCACAAGTACGCTCATTGTAAATAATGAAGCTTGCAACTATAAACTGTTAAGAAGGATACAAGCTTAAAGGAATAAATCTACGTTTTTCGTCAATAGATTGATATTCATTTTTTTATTTAAATAAAAACAGTTTTTCGAATCTATTTCCTGCACTTTGCAGTAACACCATATGTTAATCTTAAACTAAAAAAAAAATATTTCCTAAATATTATCAACTAATTTGCCAGACTAAAGCAATTTCCAAAATGAAATCATGTAAAAATTTATAATATTTATATTTGAATAAGCTTCAAAAAGATTTAAACCTGAAAACTTTCCTTATTCCAGTAAAAGCGTTGTAATGCGTGAGTTTATTAACTTAACTTTGTTTCATTCAATCTGTTTTTCTTATCTCCTCATCAAGTAAGAATTAAGAAAGTAAGCTCACAAAGTGTGTCCAGAGTAGTCGCCATTAGTGTATATATACCCTACACGCTGTGCGCGTTTTCTTCTCAAAAAATAAGATGCTTTTAATTTTTTATGATCATCCTAACCTAATTCATTTTTAAGGAGGTTCGGTAGTGTTAGCGGGGGGAAATCTCAGAGAGGCAAGGGGAGGGAGAGCGTCTGGCAACGTTGTGAATTTTTTCAGCTGCTGGCACGTCGTCTACTGTTGTTGTCGTCTACTGCTGTTGTCGTCGTCTACTGATGACAGTGTACTTATTTCTTCAGTTGAGTTTTTTATACTTAAATTTTCAATTGCAAAAGGAGTTTTTACTATTAATTACATTTCAAAGCGCGCTCCAAAAGCAGCGTTGCCAAGTCGTCTGCTGCGAGCACATTTTTTGCTGTTTTTTAATAGAAATTTGTGGTAGGGCTCTCTCAAACTTTGACAAAATATTATTTTGACAATATTCTTTCATTTAAAAAAAAAAAAA